GGGAACTAAAGGAATTAAGTTTTTTATCCGACATCGATCTTTTGACGTCGTCCCTAAGTATTTTAGGTGGACCTCTCAGATTTGTTCATTTTGTGATATCTTGAATTCTCTAATTGAAATGTACATTGCTAACAGCAGAACTATCTCAGCCCAGAGGCTGATTGTTTTTTTTAAATGTTATCAATGCAAATTTGTTTTCTTGAAAGTCTATCAAAGGAATGTGAATTTAGCAACTTTTACTTTGATAACAACTAAAAATTGGACAATTCTTCACAAGACCATGTATGTGACATACAAAGTACCCTTAGTCTCATATTACTGGGATAATTGTTAATCCATGAGTATTTGTAATTGTGGAAGACTTAATTCATTTCTTCTTTTAAAGGCCCAATTCATTTGCCCCGGGCAAGTGTGAATTGGAGGTGTGGCTATGTTAATAAGTGTTGTTAATCACTTGCATAGCCTATGACGCATCCTGTTTCAGCGGTCCAACATCACGTTACTGCAGCAGATTGACAGCAGTTAATTATTCAAGATTAGTAGCGCGTCCCTTTCCACGGTTCCTGTTTTTGACTTTTATCCGCCAAAATCTCAACCCGTACACTATTTATAAATACTACACACAGTCACTGCTGTGATATTCATAGTCACAATGCATCCACTTTGGCACGACATAATAGACCTGTAAGTTCGAGAAAACGCGTTTTTACCGGAGCTTGGCTTGAACTGTTTACTACAGCATGACAAGCAAGGAAATAATCCCTATTGTTTAGGAGCATATTTATAGTATACCTGGGCCTTTAAGCAAGGCACGTAGTCACACCACTGTGTATTTGGTGTTATTTCTGCAAATTTAACAATAGCTTTTCAAAATTTTTGATAAACTGAATGAAGATGTTCACTTTGACTAATGGATGACCAGATCGGAAAGAGTTCCTTTTGTACCCCCTAACCTTAACCCCCCCCCCCCCCATTTAATTGTACATGCCCCTCCTAAGTACATCTATAGTTATCTAGTCATATACAAATAAATTGGGTAACTGGGAGTGAGTGTTTGAGTTAGGGTTCGGGATGGGGGTACAAAAAGAACTTTTGCCACCAGATCATTAATATGTAAAGCTGTAACACAATTTTTGTTCATCAGCATACACTGCCAGTATTCCTACTCACTGAGGACAAGTACTGTATAATTGAGTGTAATTTGTTTATTCATATATTAAAATGTTGTATAACACGCATAGAATACAATTCTCAGCAGTGTGTGATGTGTTAAAAACATTCATTGCAGGTCTCCAGGGGGGACCAACATCGTCTCTGGAACAACTTTTATGATATGGCTATGTGATAGATAATTTGAGACGGGCTTTATACAAGACGAACCATATAAACAGACTGAATTGTCTGGAAGACTAGTTAACCTGCTTTTCCTATTTGATAATCGTTGTCATAACTATTCAAAATAGCAAAACGTTTTTTTATTGATAGCTTCTACACTATTGTTACTTAGGACAACAGTCATCAAATAATATCTACTATATTTTGGTTTGAGCAGCGTTTATTTATTGACTGGTTTTCACATTGCTAGCTGTATCAAACAAAATATGATAATAAATGATATCAATCATTTAGCAAACATTTCTGCTTTATGATAATTTAGAAAAAACACACAATGATTTTGTGGTTGGTGATAGAAATCCCAATGCAATGTCGCCATCTTAAGATTGAAAAGCATACCTTTTTTTTAAAACTGGTTTTGCGTTTCACACTTAATAAATTTACAAGTAAAAACCTAAAACTTGGCAAAGTTGAAAGGCTGATAAGCACACATTAAAACACTGCTCGTATTATCACTGATAACCCAACACATCTTCATTTGGCATTTACAAACAAAACACTGAATATAAATCACTCTTAATAAAAAAAAAATACTGTTTTTGTACAATATACAATGAATTCCAAGCTTTTCAGTTCCCAATACATCAACCATGATGTAAATATATACAAATTTTACAAATTTAAATTCTCTCTCCCAAATTGATTTAACATGGTGACAACCACTGGGCCAACTTAATGTTATCGGTGACATAGCTGTTGACGAGTCCCAAATACTATAAATCATTTTATTTTGATGACAAAAGTCACTAACTTAGTCGGATATAAAATGTTCGGCGATGCCACATTTTTCAGTTTTACCTAAATTGTGAAGTTCATGAACAGCTGTATTTCATGAAATTAAAACAAATTATTGTTATTTGAGCTACCAGGGTGACTGCTCTATTAAAAGCGTTGAAATATACACTAGTAATAGAGCAATTACAGCACATGTAATTCAGAATGTACTGCTAAAATATTTTTTTATGATATTATAGGCTCTAAACCGGTTTTGCCAATTTAGGTGCATTTAAACCAAATCACTCTAAAATGATTTGAATTGTGAACAGCTTTACTTTCTTAGAGAAAATTTTTTTTCGAATCTGTAAAAGTCACAAAATTTAGGTTTTACACATCAGAGTGTCAATGACTTTTGCCTTCACAGACTCCATAAAATACTGAAATCGCAAATAATTTCTAGCAGTGAAAATTTAATTGGCTTACAGTATTTTAAAGTGCATTAATAAACAATACTGAACGAATGAATAGATAGACATCAAACACCCCACTCCATTCCCCTCACCCAAAAAGTTAATGATATTCACAATCTACAAATGTCAAAATAAGCACCATGGATTGTCATCAATCATAAAGATGTCTAATTTCACTGTAGAAACTTCCTAACCGGTGGAGGTTTTGGATTAAAACCAAAAGGAACATCTTGTAGTGGTCTGTTTGGATTCAGTAATCTATCATGCATGGGGGAAGCACGTAAAGGCTCTAATTTTGACATGGAGCCACTCATTGTGTTCAGACTGGGAGCACTGACGTAGCGTTGTGCTGTCTTCTCACCCATAGCACTGGCACTCATTTTCTTTTTCTGTAAAAAAACCCCGAAACAAGACAGATTAGCAATTGTTGTTTTTTTCGACGAAATACCTGCAGTGTCTTGCAGTGATTTGTATCATGAGTACGTTGAGATGATTAAAACAATACCGTATTTGGTCTACTGTATTAAAAGCACATAACGGTATCTAGTAGGAGCACAAATAAACCAGAAATTGTATACTGGATCATTAAAATGTAACTTATTTAGATCACAGATCATTTAGTGAGCACATGTGTAACTAATAGAGCCAATATAATAGTCCTGAGTTACAAGAAGACTATAGTATACTTGGCAAGTGAAGACCATTTTATTATTATATTAGAACTCAATCCCTTGAATGATGAATTAACCTTTTCACCACCAGACTTTCCCTCTTCAAGATTGATGGAAATGAACCCCAATTTTGGAGCAACAGACAACATTTTAGTCAATTTTCAGTTTTTACTCAAAACGCATTTAGCTATTTTTGTCTATAAATGGGAATATTTTGGTGGTGGTTAGAAATGTCTGCAAGAACTTCGGCTCGAGTATGCAGGTGATTCATTCTAACTTACAAGATCCCTATAAACAGGAATGCCACTCTAATCATAACACTCTAAGAGTTGACTCAAAACATGCAACAGAACCAGAGATGCTTCACACAGGTCACATTGGGTTGGGAGGTTTAAAGGGGGGAGGAGTATCAAAACACAATATAACATATTAAAGTACATGTAAATAAAATACGGTACCTTGCTAGCTAATGGGTTTAGTACGCCTACATTAGGTGCAGCATTGAACACTTTATTAAAATT